CTGTGCGCGCATGTGCACATGCACTGGCCTGCCAATCACGGTTTTAGCTGCGCCCCCTCGCATTTGTGCCGGCCTGCCACTTGGGCAGCCTGGTTCCAGATAGGCCATGGCCTGGTAACGGGCCCCGGCATGGGGGTTGGGGACCCCTGTCATATGAGATGACAATATTGCCATTTTCTTCAAAACTGGAGTTCTATCAGAATCTTAACCTTAATCGTTCCTCTCTAGAAAGCTTTTGGGTGGAAAAACATGAAAAGTTCAGAAAAACACAGCTGAGCTATAAGCTATAAAAATATTTTAAGTAATAAATACATTAAGACAAACTCAATCAGAAGGTACAGTTTTAAACATCTTTGTAAGAAGTACAACAATCAAATGTATAATGTCTTTAAGTTGCAGTCCTAGGAACTTAACTTAGTAATGCTAACTTCTTAACTTGTAAAGCTTCCTGATGGCACCACAGCCTGCCATTTGTGTTGTTGCTGTTACCCTATTAATAGGCAGACATTTATTGGTTCAAATTAAAATTGTTTCTATTTTAGCAAACAGAAGCAACAGAACTGAAATTCTTGGACAAGAAGCATGAATATGAACCACCCCCAAATGGGACTTTTGTCTAGACCTTTTTTCAGTGGTGGGATTCAGCCGGTTCACACCACTTTGGCAGAACTGGAAGCTAAATTTTGCTGAGTTCAGAGAACCGGCTGAATGCACACTGCTTCTGGAAGTCCAGTCTAGGCCTCAGAAGGCCTGGAGAAGGCCTCCCAGGCTTAGAACGGCCCACCAGAAGTGCATGGATGCCACTTCCGGAAGTCCGTTGTAGGTCTCAGAGGCCCAGGTCTGCATCCAATAAGAGAACTGTTTGTTCAGGTATTTGAATCCCACCACTGGGTATATCCAGTGATGGGATTCAGCCAGTTTGCACCACTTTGGCAGAACCGGTAGCTAATTTTTTGTTGCCCAGGCCCAGAATGGACTTCCGGAAGCGGTAGCCACACAGAGAACTGGTTGTTCACATATTTGAATCCTACCACTGCCTGTTTCCAATATGATGTCTATGTTTTGTTTTGTTTTTTGGCTTTCATAAGATGATACTATTAACCACTAAACCACAACCATAATAAAAGGCAAATATTCTTACATTACTCAGGCAATTTTTCAAAAAATCTACACATGAAAAAATGTTATATATAATAATAACACGACCTAAAAGTCCCCAAAGGTCAACATTTTTTAAAATAGCCTCATACCTCAGAGAAGAAATATGTACAGATCCTAGCTCTTCCAGCAGGGCACAATTATTAATTACTGAATTAATTAAATAATTATTAACATATTAAACTGAGCTGCCACAATCAAGGATACACTAGTAATCTATCTAAAAATGGGGTGAAAACATATATTTTCTGTGGAGAAGGGCAATCACAGACTAAAATTGTCAGATTCAGGAGAATCAGCAGGAACGGCTCAAAATGATCACATGATTGAAGCCACCATCTTGCCTTTTTTGACTTCCTTCTGCTGTTTTCCCATGTCAGGCCCATCGCTCGTTAGTTAAAGTACTTGGCTAAAAAGGGGTTGGTTTGAAGAACGGCAGAGGGATGATGTTCTGGGGTTTGCCAAAATCATTTCTTCCAAATCCTTTTCAAAATACACACAGCTTCACACAGATTTGTTGCCGGGTATTTGTGTTGGCCCCTAGGTCCTTGTTTGATGCTTTTTACCTACTTCCAAAACAATTCTTAAAATTTTCTATAAATAGCGCTGCATTTTTTTTCTCTCCCACTTTTAACCTGTTTTTAAAAGTGGGAAAATCTATTTTGTTTGCTCTCTTTTCAATGATAACACAGCTATTTTACACATTCATTTCTGCAACAATCGTTCTTATATGTATTTTTCTTTAACTATAGGCTTTTTAAATTCAGCATTCCAAAAATCACCACTTTTCATTTTTCCCAGTACCATAACTTCTTTCCACTTTGTTTCAAAACATCCCTTTTTACTTTTGTTCACTTTCCAATTATCCCGTTGAAGGATTAACTCACAAACAGGACTCAAATTTTCTTTTCTTCCTTCTACTGTCCCTTTTCCTTCTTTTCTTCCTCTATGTTCATTCTTTCCTAACTTCACTTTTGATACAAATCCCTCCCATATTTGAAACCTCTTACATCCTTCACTAATCGTTTGTCAAAAACGGTCATATCAAATAGGCTTTTGGTTCATTCCTTGCCCTTGTGTGCATATGAACACGCTCAAAGCATGTATTTAAAGCAAAAAATAATGACTTGTGAACAGATACTCACCAGTCTTCGTATTAATTCATTCTTGTGTCTCCAAATGGTCCAATGACTTTTTGTACTCTCATTTCTTCTACCCATGTCTCCCAACAGAATATTTTCCACCCTGGACTGTGTTCAATCTGACAACACATAATCTCGACACTTCCACTCTTTTATAACTTAAACTTAAAGGCTTTTTTAAAAAAATCCTGCGTCATTTCAGCAAAGAAAATGTTCTTTATTGTATTTTTTCCATGCCCATCTAGCTGGGAGGCCCCAGCTCACCTTGGCTAATCTCAAAGAGTTAAGCAGGTGTAACACAAGTATGAAAGGGTCAAGAAAGTATGGGCTGGGATGTCATAAACCTGTGTTGTAATTTTGTGGTCAGGAATGGATACCTATGGATGTGTCTGTTATTGTCTCCATTAGCAATGTAAAGATCATTTAAATATTTCTTCTACCTTCATCTTCCTAATCCATGCTTTACATGAGAGTTGGGCAATCCAGAGATCAATATTTGGAAATATTTAGAATATCTCTTCCCATAACAACAAGTGCCTACTCTCAAATGCACAAGTACAGCATAGGTGGCACCTTGCTCAATAGTAGTAACTGTGAGAGGGACCTCGGAGTCCTAGTGGACAATCACCTAAATATGAGCCAGCAGTGTGCTGCAGCTACCAAAAAGGCCAACACAGTGCTAGGCTGCATTAACAGAGGGATAGAATCAAGATCACGTGAAGTGTTAATACCACTTTACAATG